GCCAGACTGATTCCCAGGAAACTGAGCTTTCATTGAAAAATAATTTTGGAGAGCTTCTTGTTGGGCCTCCTCAAAAACAGAGAAGTTAGAGTTGTGTGTGATAGTAAAATAAAATAAAAAGAAATCAGCTGCCTTCATGGGTGGAGGGGCAAATGTAAAATTGTTTTGCAGGCTAAAGTTGTCTAAAGTTGCTAAGGTTGGCTCATTGTGTGGGCCTGATCCTGTGGGATGACGAGCACCTGCAACTTCCATTGGGAAATTCAGTGGGAATTTCCGGTGCTGGATCAGGCTCATAGAACACACAGATAAACCTTTTGGGTCATGCCAGTTTCTCCCAAAGCCAAATTATGAAGTCCTTTCTGAACTCTTACTCCTGCAAAAAATTCCCAGAGTAAAGACAGTACAAGGACTGTAGGATTTACCAACAAGGGAGAACCGAGTCTTAAGCATTTAAAATTATGTTATTTGAGTAAAATAACCCAGGAAGAGGCCATGTGATAGGGTGCTCAGTGGTCTGGGTGGCCTAGTGGTTAGTGCACCTGACGTCTACCCTTTGTCTTGCTGTCAGGGGCAGAGGCGTAGTAGTAGTGCCTGGTTCCTGCCCGTAAGCTGCGAGTGTCTGGGCCTCCCCCCTGCACCTGGGCCTTTGCCCTTAAGTGAGTCATGGTACGGGGAACCCAGGGCCTTCCTCTCACCAGGTCCCTGCTCAAGGCCCTGTGGGAAGTAAGATTGACAGATTCCTCCCCACAGAGAGCCTAAATCTGGGCTACTTCTCAGCCATGTGCTCCTTCAGTTTGGGGCATGACCCCTATAGTCCAAACAGTCAATAGCTTCACAAGCAAGTCCAAACGAGCAGTGTGCTGCAAGACATGCTGCTTCTCAAAGTGGGTGGTGGGTGGAGAAGGTGCTGCTGGAGGCCTTACCCACTGTGAGGTTCCCTCTCAGGTGCAACCTTCTGTCTGGCTTCCTGGAGAAGGATTCTTCTCTCCTGCATCCTGTCTAACACCACATGCCTGGGCTTCTCAGCACCTTTTAACCTGATCTTCAGGCCGGTAGGGGTAGGGCTACCTGGGCCCATGATTGCCTTCTGGCCCAGCGTGAGGTTTGTATACCTCTGATACAAACTGTAGCACAGTCATTCACCTTTGTGAGTAAAGTGTTCAAAATCTGGCACCTACATGTATTTTTTTTGTTTTGTTTCGTTTTTTACATACAATACAATAATTAAGAAATGTTAAATGTATTTTAAAATAAACTGAAGATCATTTCCAGTCTCAGCATGTTATACAGATCAGGTTTTGCTCAATTTTTTTTTTTTTTAAAGTCCAGGAGCCAAAATATGTTCTCATTTGCGCAAGTGTCTCCACAGAGAATAACAGTTACTATGGATTTACAACAGCATAGGTGAGAGCAGAACTTGGCCTAAACCTTGTGCACTCAGGGATATATCACTCAAGATAAGAAGAATTTCAGTATTCAATCCTTAAGGGCCAATCTGGCATTGTGTATCATGCAGCTGTGCTTGCGTGGAGTGCCAGTGATGTTCACAGAGCTTTGCATGATTGTTACAATCTGCCCACAAGCTATATATTACAGGACTAGGGTCTATGGGCTTGTGATGGGGTTTAAGGCCGAGACAGGGGAAGGGCTGGAGCAATACTGGGCCAGGGAGATCCTGCCTCTCAGGGACTGCCGCACATGCTCCTGAGGAGAACATCAGTATAAAGGAAGCTTCAGCAGCCCCAGAAAGAGACCATTTATGGATGAACTCTGCTCTGCAGAAACAGGAGAAAAATGTCTACCTAGGGGACCTGGCTGTCAGTCTTCCCCTGGCTCCTAGACACTCTGGGAGGGAGGGAGGGAGAACTGTGGCCAAGGGCTCAAGAAGGCTGCAGGCATCAGCCCTAGACTGTGGGGCCTTTGAAGCAAAGACTATGACCATACCCCCACCTGAGATGCAGGGGTGATAGGAAGTGGCCCGTGAAAGGTAAGCAAGTGGCCTGGCTGAACATAGGTTGGTGCATACCACTTCACTTTTAGGAGAAAGGCCCTGGGTCCCCCTACCTACCCTGGAGCTATGACCCCTGAACTGAGGAGGACAGAGCTAGGGGTTACCATCAAAAAGTCCAGTCCAGATAAGACCTCACCCAGAGGGCTGGGATACTGTGAACTAATAGAATGGCTGGAGGTGGAGACCCAGACCAATAGGCCTGCTGACCACCCAAAACACCCTGCCACCGAGCTTGTCTACACAGTGCGTTAGTCTGCACAAGGGGAGTTAAATTTTAGTCCACACTCACATGTTGCCCACTAACGGGCCTGTGTAGACCTTGCTGGTGTGCACTAAACGTTCCCCAGGGCACATTAATGTAGTCCTGTTTCAAACACAACTACATTAATGCACACTAGGGAATTTTTAGTGTGCACCAACAAGCTTGTTTGCTGTACAATTTTCACACCTCTAGTGCAGACCGACACACCATGTAGATTTCAGAGCAGCAGCCACATTAGTCTGTATCTGCAAAAAGAACAGGAGTACTTGTGGCACCTTAGAGACTAACAAATTTATTTGAGCATCAGCTTTCGTGGGCTACAGCCCACTTCTTCAGAAGCCCTAAGTGTACATTTAAAATTCACAATAGCATGTATGAGTTATAATCTGTTTTATATTTCATGGTCTTTATTTAAATTTAAGACTTCATATGAAAAGCTAAGAGGCACTGTCCCCTCCATTTCTGAGAGGAGAATATGAATCTATGGTGTTAGATACTGAAAAACAATATTCATCTTTTTTTTTTTTAAAAAAGAACTGAAGTAATTTATTATACCCATTTCAAATGATAATTGAAATATTTCATGGGGCTTAGCAGCTACTGTGTTCTGGAGATATGCAACTCTTAGAATGAGAATCATTAGCCTTCAGACCACACATGTCCAAATAATCTCTCCCCTACAAGGCTCCCGCACACCACATTTTAATAACCTTTATCTCCCTAAAGCTTTTGTAGATGGAAGATGTTTTAAGTCTCAGGGAGAAATTAGATACAGATATGAGACGGCTTCTACTTTGAGGTGAAAAGGATTGGTTGAGACTGGATGTATAGGTTATCTACAGAAACGTACTTAGGTGCTACTTCAAAATCTCTCTTTTAGACTCCTGGCTCAGAAATTCACAAATTATATTCTTTGCAAGAAGTGTGGTGTGTAAAAATACTTCCATTGTATAAGATTTTTGGGGGGTGGGGTGGGGAAATGAGACAATGATGAAACTATTTGTCAAAATGTGAGGAAAAATCAGACATTTCTAGAATTCATAGTGATTTAAGAATATGTATTATCACAAGACAAGGGTAACATTTTCTAATTTCCAAATGATAAGATACTGTAATGAGATACTACATTACTATTACTGTCACAGCTTGCATATAATTTGCATTTTGTTACACAGTTCCTATTCCAGCAAGTGCAGAATCAGCTTTCGGTGGGTGCCAAAACACAGAAATCCTGTAGGATGAGGAAGTGGGGCACAGGAGAGTTTAGGGGGCATGTCTACATTGTTCTAGTGTATTGTAGAGAACGAATAGCCAACATACGAGGTTTTAAAAAAAATTAAAGAAAACAACAGTACCAGAATTTAGAACTCCAGCATATAGGCACATCCTGCTGGAATTTTGAAAGATATTCCTACCATGTCCATTAATTATATTCTTCAAGCTCTGCTGTTCTGGATTCCTGACACTCAGAGGAATTGGAAAGATGAAGATCCAAATTCTGTTCTCATTTAAACTAGAGTAACAATTTAAAACAATTACACCATATACCAACCCCATCCTATCCCACACACAAAGTTAACTGAGACGAGAATATTGCTCAGAGCCTTTTCTTCCAAAGTTGTTATTCTGAGTTCTTCCTTGACGACTTTTTAAATGTTGTGTTGCCACTGTCAAAGTTAGAGCAGGTATGAATGTCGTTTATTCCTTATTTGATTACGTTAGAAATGTCATGGTATTTGTTCAAGAAAAATGTACTAAAAGTTAATCATTCATACATTTGTAGACCTTTTAAATAATTGCAAGTAAGGCAAAATTATGCAGCCCTTAGTCAGTTGCTAAGGTTCAAAATGAAGTATGGCCTTAATTTTTTAAACACAAATTAAAAGCAAAACAAAACCACAACTACTCTAAGATGACAAAGCTACCCTTTCAGATCCAGATTCACCAGTACACTCTGCTTTGTGTGTGCCCTGCCAACAACAGCAAACCAGTCATAAACCTAATTATACAAAATAGATGGGTTTATGACTGCTTTGCATCATCAACATGGTGCAAAGACTTACCAGTGAAACTCCCCATTGAAATAAAAATCCTTGATAACTTCCTATTTAAATGAGAAAAATAGAAGCTTACTAGTAATATGCCATTTCTTCTTATGTTAGTGGGCCTTGACAAAAATCCATAATAAACTATAACCCTTGAGGAAAGCACTTGCTCTCTAATGTTTCACTGTTTGAAATAAATATTATCAGGTCATGCATTTTTTTCCCTGTTGAAAAGTGCAACCGCAGCTTCTTTCTAAAAAGGGAAGGTACTCTGCTTGCATGAAAAAAATCAAATATTTCCAGATCTTCCAAGAATGGAAACAGTTCTAGCTGCTTCAAAATGTTCCTTTAAAAAATAAAATTTTTATTTTATTTTCTGTTTCTAAATTTAATTTTGAATTACAGAATACCCTATTTTCCAGGGCAATGACTCAAAGCTTATTGAATGTGGGGCAAGATCTAAATTAAAACAAATAAAAAACATTGCATTTTCCATATCATTAGTTCTTTGATTTTGATTACATTTCTAGCCCAAAAAGTCCTACATAAATGTACTCTTTTGAATTTTAAAAGGGAACTTCAAAAGAATTTCCACCCCGACCCCTTTATTTAATGGTGACTATATCTCAAAATGTTGAAGTATCAATAGTATTTATCAGTGTTTGCTGGAAACTATACAGACCTTCTTTTTTATCTTCTGGAGCAATCTTCACCTTTGTATCGGTTATATCTTTGAAAGAGGCCAGAAACAGTACTACATCTCCTTTCTCGTTCTTTATAGGAACAATGTCCAGTAGGCACCAAAATGAAGACCCTGAAAGGATACAGAATGAATTAAATTCAAACAGCTGTCTTTTTGCTGAAAAATCCAAACTATTAAAGCTGCAACTAACGTAATTCTAACAAAAAATCTTATTTAGAAGGTCAGTCAGGAAATCACAGATGTTCAGCTCATGTAAATCTCTTTGCATCATCGGTCGAAGCTCAGTAATGCTGCATTCTGTGGAATCAAGGCATTAATTTAAATGCAAAATTTATCTACTGGGAACATTAATAGAGTTTAATGAAGCTGCTTACTTCTCTCAAACCACATTTTCCTTTGAAATCTTAACTGATTTTGGCACTTCGTATTTTAATGGAGTATCTGCCACTACGTTAACTCTGATATCTGAAGCTTCCATGTTTACTATGAAATATCTTTACCTTAGATTAATTATCAAATTTGGCTCTCTCATCATCCCTTGGCAGAAGACCCAGTAGCTAGTGTATCGCTCCACTAATTCGAAGATACTTAAACTAATCAGACTTGTGACTTAAAATAGAAAGTAAAGTACCATTATTCAAATCTGAGCTGTTAAACTTAGGCAAGTGAAAACTCAAAGTCCTTGTATTTCATTGAAGATGAGTGTTATAATACCCACATTTTATCTGTGAAAATTAATGACAATAAAGATCTTCCCTGTTACATGTTAACTGCAGTAATAGCAGTTAGTAGCCTGGGTAAAAAATAATATTTTTTTAAAATGTAAAACAACTTGCCTATTTAGTGTCAAATTGTTGTATAACTAGAAAGATTTTTTTTTAAAAAGTCAAATCATCCTTGGAAAATAGGACATTCAGTCTGATGGTTTTAAGCACTGGGGTTGTAATTCACCCAGATAATTCAGCATAGAAGCTAATTATTGCCAGTGTGTTGGTGTTGTACTGCAGCATAGTTCAAGCACATTGTGAGTAAAGCTGAGATCATACCAAAACCCTGGATCCAAACCCCACTGATTTTGGGGTAAATCAGTCTAGATTCTAACTATAGTTGGCAGCTTGGGCCCATCTCTGTAAGTCACAAAGGAAAAACAATTATCTTCAGACACTTCCAGCATACCAACAGACCACTAATGTTCACAATGGGATGGATCATTGTTATTGGACTAAGTATTTTTCATTTGAAATTTGTTTTTGGGCGTGCCTGACCCCGAGACTCCTATATCCTATCCATCTCACTGCTCTTTTGGCAACAATTTAATGCTCAAAGGCTACTTCCAGTTCTCATGAAATAAAACTAAACATGGTCACTGGGCCACTAGCTATGCCTGAAAATACATAGCTAATATGTATATAAATATGTCTGAGCTGAGAAAAGATTGATTGGAAGAGCAGATTAGAGCTGCTTGCTTTTGGCGCTCTTGTCCCTGTCCCCCTATTTTCTCTCTTCTCAACTTTGCAGTTTAAGAAATGGTACCAGGCACTGCAAATTTGCTTACAATTCGGCTGTCTAATCTAAATTTTAATATAAAATCAACTTGACTGCCTCTTGAGAGCTGGGGCCGAGCCTAGCAGGGGATATAGCAGTTACCCTTGAAGTGTTATTGCAGTTGAAGTTCCAGTAGGATGCTTCAAAGGAAAATCAATTGTTCCTCTCCCAACTCAGTCACAGCTCTCTGGAGGCAGTTGGGCAGCTTTTAGTTAGGTTAGTAAATTTAACCTGCAGCTGGGACCAGGTTCCCAGTTTGAAGGAAATCAGGAAAGTGAGAAAGGGAGGAAAGAAGGATATGGCAAATGAAACAGAATGGGTCTATACTGGGTTTTAACTATTTTGTAAGCTGTGAAAACAGTGCAAGCAAAGATACCATCATAAAAAGAGGGTAGAAATGGGAAATCAGAAGCAAAAGATTTCTGCCTGCTTATTCCCCCTTTTTTCCATCCTGAATTTCTTATTCCTTTTCAAGCAGACGTGATGGAGCAAGCACGTTTTATTATGAGCATCTTTGAGCAAGACAAAGCAAGAAGCAGAGAGAGTGTAGGACTACTGTTATCTCCTTTATCAAAACCTTTGGGAAAATCTGATTGGTGCTACTTCCTGTCACTTATTTGTTGAAAAGCAACCAATACATCAATCTATACTGGTGTATCCAAAATGAAAAGCATCAGTAAAATTTTATAGTTTTCTGATTGAAAGACAGAATTGCAAGTCTCTAAAGAATATTACTATAACTCATATTACTTAGCCAAATTCCATTTTTTTAAATTACATTCTGCCTAGATAAATTTCTCCCATAATTTCAATTGGATACAATGTTATTCTTCACTTCCTCTGCAAAACTGTTGTTTCTGGCCGCTATGCTTTTTTAAACAGCTATTGTTATCCACTCTAGAAGTAGCTGAATTTCTTTTCTCTTTTCTATTGTTTTGATATAGTTTTAGCATCAACAATACAGAAACAGCCATTAAAGCACTGGATTAGTGGCAATAATGTTACAGGCATCAGACATTTAAAAAAATATATATAAATACATTCTAGCAAATACATTTGGTATAACAATGGCCATACTGGATCAGACCAAAGGTCCATCTAGCCCAGTACCTGTCTTCCAACAGTGGCAAATGCCAGGTGCCCCAGAGGGAATGAACAGAACAGGTAATCATCAAGTGATCCATCCACTATTGCCTATTCCCAGCTTCTGGAAAACAGAGGCTAGAGACACCATCCCTGTCCATCCTGGCTAATAGCCATTGATGGACCTATCCTCCATGAACTTCTCTAGTTCTTTTTTGAACCATGTTCTAGTCTTGGCCTTCACAACATTCTCTGGCAAGGAGTTCCACAGGTTGCCTATGTGTTGTGTGAAGAAATACTTCCTTCTGTTTGTTTTAAACCTCTGCTGATTAATTTCATTTGGTGACCCCTAGCTCCTGTGTTATGAAAAGGAGTAAATAACAACACTTCCTTATTTACTTTCTCCACACCAGTCATGATTGTATAGACATCTATCATATCCCACATAGTCATCTCTTTTCCAAGCTGAAAAGTCCCAGTCTTATTAATTGCTCCTTATATGCAAGCTGTTCCATACCCCTAATCATTTTTGTTGCCTTTTTCTGAACTTTTTCCAATTACAATATATCTTTTTTGAGATGGGGCAACCACATCTGCATGCAGCATCCAAGATGTGGGTTTACCATGGATTTATATAGAGGCAATATGATATTTACTGTTTATTATCTATCCCTTTCTTAATGATTCCCAACATTCTGTTCACTTTTTTGACTGCCAGTCCACATTGAGTGGATGTTCTCAGAGATTTACCCCAAGATCTCTTTCTTGAGTGGTAACAGCTAATTTAGATCCCATTATTTTATATGGGGTTGGGATTGTGTTTTCCAGTGTGCATTAATTTGCATTTTGCATTTGGTAACTTTATCTGAAATGATTAATTTGATTCTGAGACCTAGGGAAATTAACGTCAAACAAACTCTCTGTCCTTACAAAAGTATTTATAATACACAGAAAGCCCTTCAATATTTCACAATGTGCAACATTCGCTTTAGTTAAAATAGCTGCATTACGGTGGATTCAGTAAATGAATAATAATCATTAAGCTTGCTCAGCATTTTTATGGCAGGCTTGCATATTGTTGTTTGTTTCGTGTCAGGTTTTCGTCAGCCATATTATCTCCTTACGTATCTTTTCTTATTTTCCTCCCAATGTAAACACTGTCTGAACAAAGCAAATAAAAACTGCTGCGGAGACCACCAACTTAAAATAGATGCATGTACTAATTCTCTCATGAGCTACAAGGTAACTCCTGGAATGAAGGAACCACATGATCTGGGATTAGTAATGGGGTCTTTTAACCATAATGTGGATCAACAGTTTGAATTCTGCACCATGCCTTAACAACTGTCTACCCCATTGCAGTCTTGGCAAAAAGGCCATGGAATGAATGGGTATGGAGGTGAAGTATCCCCTCAGCCCAGGAGAGATGATTTCCTAAGTCAGGGTTTAGACCAGGGGTGGGCAAACTATGGCCCATAGGCTGGATCCGGCCCGTGAGCCGTTTTAAGCCGGCCCACGAGCTCCCACTGGGGAGCAAGGCCTGGGGTTCGGCCCCGGTCCGGTGCTCCAGCCAGGGCGGGGGCCGCACCACGTGGCTTGGCCCCACTCCGGCGCTCCAGTCAGTATGCCGGGTCGGGGACCGCACCACGCGGCTCCCAGAAGCCACGGCATAGCCCTACTCTGGGGCACAGGGTCGGGGGCCGCACGGACTCACTCCAGCGCTAGCAGGGTCGGGGGCCGCTCCACGCATAGGAGCCAGAGAAGGGACATGCCACTGCTTCTGGGAGCCACTTGAGGTAAGCGCCGCTCAAAGCCTGCACCCCTGAGCCTCTCTCCACGCCCCAACCCCCTGCTCCAGCCCTGATTCCTCTCCCACTCTCCAAACCCCTTGATTCCACCCCGGAGCACCCTCCTGCACCCCAAACCTCTCATCCCCAGCCCCACCTCAGAGCCCGCACCCCTGCCCCAGCCCTGATCCCCCTCCCGCCCTCCGAACCCATCTGTCCCAGCCCAGAGCACCCTCCTACATGCCAAACTCTTCATCCCCAGCCCCATCCCAGAGCCTGCACCCCCAACCAGAGCCCTCACACCCTCCCGCACCTCAACCCCAATTTTGTGAGCATTCATGGCCAGCCATACAATTTCTATTCCCCGATGTGGCCCTGCGGCCAAAAAGTTTGCCCACCCCTGGTTTAGACAGATCATGAACGGTTTGTACCTTTCCGGCAGAAAAAGAGTAGACTTCAATTTTCAATGCTGTCAAATTTTCAATGGAAAAAATATAATGCAACCCACTGCATATGGTCTGCACATTGAAAAGCTGTATCACACAATGTTATATGCCTATAGTAGGATTTCTTACTTGTTAGATAAATAAAACCCAATGTTACTATTATTCTGTTGAAGGAACTCTTTTTCAGGAGGGGAATTCCTTTCCTGCTTCAACTAGTGCATGCAAAGGTCATTGTCAACAAATCATTGTC